TTACCCGGATTTTTGGTTCGCAGGCTACAATACAGAGTCAATCTTTTCCTCGATTTGGGATTCAAACCGGTGACTTGGAACACCATAAATTATCCCAAGTGGCGACTCTGAATCTTTAAATAAACGAATCATGTTTCGATTGTCCTTTGATTGGAAAAACTCCCTTATACAGCCCTTGCAGGTGTAGGTAAAAAGGAGGTGTGACAATATGCTTTCTGAATGTCCTAAGATGAGCTCAACGAGAACAGAAATATGTTTCTTGTCCTAAGAGAGGTGCCACATCACTTCCTTATTGCCTATATATATATATACTTTTTATATATTAAAGATAATACTTTTAAGTTTCTCCTTTACCCTATATTCACATGAATTACTTACACAAAATTCATACAACAATCAGATCGATAACCGAAGAATATAATATGGTGCAGCGGATGAGACTGCTCCAATACTAAAAATTCGGCAAAAAATTGACCACAGTCAACCAAATTTTGGTCGGTCAAAAAACCGACCAAAGTCGGTCGTTTTTCAAAATATTTTATGTTTTAATTATTTTTTCCAAACCGACCAACTTTGGTCGGTTTTCTTTGGCGCAAAAATGCGGGAAACTATTTTTGAGTTCCACAAAATTTATTTTTCAAGAAATCGATCAACTTTGGTAGGTTTTTCATTTAAAATAAATTAATACTAATATTAAAAAATGACCGAAATCGGTCGGTTAATTCGGCCGGTCATTTTAAAAAACCGACTGACATTGGTCGGTTATTTTCGTGCGAAAATACAATTAAAGAGTATAAATGAAATAAATACAGTCTATAAAATAAAATGTACTAATAATCTAGTGGTAGAATAGTATCCTGCCACAATATAGACCCCGCTTCGATTTTCAGATGGTGCATTTTTTAATTACATAATCAAAATACCGACTGATTTTGGTCGGAAGTCGGTATGCCCTTCCCACCTTCAAAATACCGACCACACGTTAATGGTCGCATTTTGGACGGTTATTGGTCATTACCGACCTACTTTGATTGTTTTTTTTGGACGGGTTTTTTCGAATTTCTTAGTGCTCTTCCCTTAATCAGAGATCTCGGGTTCGAGCCCTGAGTATGGAAAAATCCTTGGTAGGAAGTGTTTTCCCCGAATATGGCCCTACGCGGTACGAATACGGATATAGTCGAGCTCCAATATGGATACCAGACACCCAGTAAGAAACCAAAAACAAAAAAACTCGAAATTAGGGTAGGCATACCTAAATAACACATTTTAATTTTTGAAATTTGTCTTCTACAAATAGACACCTTTTTTTACTTGATCAAAGTCAAATTAACGTGTTTACATACAATTAGGATGCAGCCATACGAACATTTAAACAAGTTAAATGTATATTATTAGCACCAATACCCTCTATATACCTTCATTTGTATCTGAATTACAAAGATAGATGCCTACAATTTGTTTTTCCTTTTTTTTTTTGCACTGCTTTATTTTTTGGTTAGCTCTAGTATATTTCCTTATGACAAGATCAAATAGAAAGAAGCAATTTGATGTAAGCAAGTGAGGGGAAAAATATAAAGCAAAAACGGATATAAGAACCATATATTAGCAAAATATATTTCCTAATTTATCCATAATATTTCTATACAACAAAAATAATCACGCGTTCATGCAAAATAAGTAAGAGGTTGGCTAAATGAATCATTACTTATCATATTTCAACCTAGTAGGCGTTTGGACATAACACTCGTAACTTTTGAAGAAAACGTTCTTGGAGTCGATCAAGTTGAAAAATGATATTTGAAATTATATTTGGACATACATTTCACTTAAAAATATTACAGTTTTATGAGTGGGGAAAAACAATTCCCGAAAAATTTGAAAAAGGTTTTTGGTTTTTGAAAAATTCATTGCCGAAAAATCTCCAAAAATTTAAAGAATTTCATGGACAAACACATTTTTTTAAAAAAAAAAGTCAAAAAAGGAAAAAATATCTATGACCAAACGGGCCCTTAAATTCATTTCAAGCCAACATCCATAATATTTATATGAGAACACTAAATTACATATCTAGAGCATGTCATCAGGTGGGTCTTCCAGCCACGAATCTATATTAGTCGGGTCAGCAAACCAGAAAGTAATGACATGAAAAAAAGATTTCTTCTTCATCACATAACCACACTAGAAAAGTGAAGGAAAAAATGAAAGAAAAAAGAAATTAAAGTTCATCAAATATTATTAGTAATTGTTAGTAATTGCTAGTGATGATACGGAGAAGTTGCTTGAATTCTATTTTTTCTCTTCTGCAGAAATCCTTGCAAAGATCTCTTCATGGAAAGACCAGTTTGAGGTTGTAACAATGGCGATGATGCCTCTGAAATTTGTGATGAAGTCTTTGTATTCTCCTCCATTTCTCTACTTGCGAGATATATTATTGCTTTCGCCTGCATTTTCATGAAGGAAAATAAATTACTTAAGAATTATTAGGAAAACTAACATTTTTTACGAAGAAAATTAAAGAGAAATAATAATTTTTACAGCTATGAAAGTAACAAATGTGAAAGGAACTTAGTTTGTATACACCAATGGTATGTAAAAACCCCATAAATATATTTTAACCTATATTGTAACAAGTGACCCGCCTTGCTTCTAAGTTACAAATAAAAATTGATTTTAATTACTTGAGCTTAAAAGCTACTTTTTTTGTGAAAATAGCACGGGCTAATTTATTTTCGGATTGATAATTGAAAAATAGCCAGCGTTTGCAAAGCCAGTGAAAAATAGCCACTTTTTTTGCTGAAACACAAAAAGTTCCAGCATAATATGTTGGATTATGGAGCTCCTTCATATACTTCCAGCATATTATATTGGAACTCCAATATACGAAAAAGTTTCAGCATAATATAATGGATTATAGAGGTCTTGCTTATAAACTTCCAACATATTATGTCGAAACTCCAGCACATAATGAAATTCCAATACATTATGGTGGAATCTCATATGTAAAGCATTCGAACTCCAACATATTATGCTGGAATTTTTTCGAATTTTTAAAGGTGTTTTTGTTCAGATTTTATTTTTACATGAAAAAGTGGCTAACTTTCGATTACTTTTGAAACTGTCCCTATTTTCAATTACTAGTTATAAATCTGACTATTTTTTATTTCCCCCCTTTTTTCCCGCCAATCCAAACGTGCTCTATAGAAGAAAGTGATTTTTTTATATGGTCACAATCTCTTTCTGATCAAAATTGTCTTTGATCCTATAGTATTTAAGGAAAAATTAAAAACATGTATCTACCTTAACCAAAATCCATTTGTTATTATCTTCAATTCTTGACCATCCCCCTCCCCAAAAAGGTGAAAGGGTACCCTGACTTCCCTTTCTTGTTAAATAATTTTATTTTGTAAGAATTTCCATGAAATTTCAGTGCAATATTTGTTATCAAATTTCTTTGGACCACCTTGCACGAATGTGACATGAAGTTGCATCATTACTACGTTATAATACCAGAAGACAAATTTGTATACACATTGATGATTTCCACCAAACTGCACGTTCAAATTGAATTTTTTGTAGTAGATAATCTGTATTATTTTATAAAGTTATTAGTTTTACTTTTTATGAACAATTATTAATCATTGATAGGTATCTCTTAACAGATCAAATAATGTAAAATTTCCTGTATGCATACTAAAGTGAGTCAAGCGAGTAAAAGGTTTAGTAGAAAGAGTGCATTCAATAAACAAAAAAACACAGAAATTAAAAATAGAGGGATCGATAGATACACATACCTGCAGCTCTGTAGCATCAGAAACCACAACTTTTCCATTGTAGAATATAGTTAGCTGCTGCAGTTGCTTCTCTTTTGTGCCCTGGTTATCCCTCCTATATAAGGAAAAAGAGAGGAAATGTTCAATACCATATGCATATTTACAAAACTAGCCTATAAAAATAGTTATTTTGTATATGCTATTCCATAATATATATATATATATATATATGCGTATGTATTTCATATCACTTTCTTGTCACAATTTATGTGATGCATTTTTCTTTTTAGTATATTCAGAAAGGATTGATATTCTATATTAAGAAATAATTTAACTTTAACTTTTTGTTTTACAAAATAGATAATTTATACCAGCACAAATATTTATGGTTAGTTTTCAATCATAAGTTTGAAAAGTCTTTTCTTTCTTCAACTCTTTGTCGGTTATAACACCAACAACAATAACAACAACAACAATTAAGTAAAATCCCACTAATGGGGTCTAGGGAGGGTAGTGTGTACGTAGACCGTACTCCTACCCCGAAGGAGTAGAGAGACTGTTTCCGAAAGATCCTCCACTCAAGAAAACAAAAGGACAAAGTGAGACAATATTAGTATCACCAAAGAAATCATAGGAAAAATAGGAACAACATAAAATCCAGAAGAAAGATGCAAAGCAAAAGCGATAGCTAGTAAATAGGTCATGCACTGGAAAGTGAAATAGTAAGATACAATACTGTCACTAGCTATCTTAGACAAAAACCCTACTAGACTAGTCCCACAATGTTACGAAGTAAAGCAAGATTCAACTACCTCCTAACCTACAACCCTAATACTCGACCTCCACATCTTTCTATTATGCCTCTATTATGTCGGTCATAATACATCGCATTAATTGAGACGAAGAGGCTATAAGATCAGTGATACAGGGGCGGCTCAATAGCATGCGAGGCCTAAAGCAAAACCTTAATAAAAGGCCTTAAATAAATACATATATATTTAATGATCATCGTTGTTTAAAAAATTAGACAAGCGTGGAATGAAAAAAATGAGAACTTGATTTTATAAAGTACAAAATATTGAATGAATTTAACATTGATTGCATCACAACTAAAATGAGAACCTAGAAAACATACTCCCTCCGTCCTAATTTGTATGACACTCTCTTTTTTAATCTGCCCTAAAAAGAATACCTTTCTATATTTGGTAATAATTCAACTATAAATTTTTCTCTTTACCCTTAATGAGATGATTTCTAGCTACACAAGTTTCTATGATTTGTTTTAGATCACAAGTTTCAAAAGTTTTTTTTAAACTTCATGCCCAGTCAAACACCTTCATATAAATTGGGACGACGGGAATATAATTTACGTGAGGAAAATAACTAATAAGCTAGATTATTAGATATAGTTACATGATAATGAAGTAAAATAATTCAGTAAAAATATAAAATAAGATTGGCAGAAAACTAATTTGGTTATACTAATCATAGGAAGAAATCAACATTAATATGAAAACAAAGAAATAAATTTATCAATAATAAATGGTAATTATACTCCCTCCGTTTCAATTTATATGAAGTAGTTTGACTCAACACGGAGTTTAAGAAAAAAACTTTTAAAATTTGTGTTCTTAAAAGCTTAAGGGGTAAAAGCTTTATGGGGCCATGATATTTGTGTAATTATAAAGACTTCTTATTAAGGGTAAAATGGGTAAAATGAAAAGTGTAAAGTTGAATTATTTCTAAATTTAAAAATGTGTCATTTATTTTGGAACATACTAAAAGGGAAAGTGTCTTATCTAGTAATCTATTTGAATGAGCACGGAGTTTAAGAAAAATGAAAACTTTTGGAATTTGTGATCCTAAACAAGTTTAAAAGTGGCTCAGAGTATTTGTGTGGTTATAAAAGCTTCTCGTTAAGAGAAGAATTGTAAGTTTAAGCTAATTTATTTTTAAATTTAGAAAGGGATTATTCTTTTTGAAACGAAGCAAAAAGGAAATAGGTTTACCTAAACTAGAATAGAGGGAGTACTACATATAGAGAAACAGTAATTTTGGGCCTTTAAATTCTTGGGGCCTAAAGGGTCTAGCCGGCCTTGCAGTGATATCACATAAAAGGGATAAATTGAACTTCAAAATTCAAAACATGGAGAGAGAGAGAGAGTTACCTGGAGAAGAATGGAGTGGTAGTGCAATATTCTTTAGGAGAAAAAGCTGAAACACAAGGAGGGACAAGCCTTAGATCCAAGTTACGGTTTCTTCTCATCTTTCAAAACTTGAGAAAGAATGGAGCTTTGAAGAGAATATTAATGAATTAATGAAGAACAGCAGTTCAAGATGTGATCGGAGATAATGAAGAAGAATAAAGAGACTCTGAATGAATATATACAACTTTAAAGGGTAATTTAGATGATGGAGTTGGGTGTGGGGGCCAAGGAGTGGAGTTGATAAAATAGACGCTTCAAACACGAATCTCACACTTACATAAATAAATAAAAAGAGGGTGTAAAAGAATATGTACAGAAAAATGGCATTCCCAAACTCAAAAACAGATGTTAATTACACGTGAGACATGAGGCTGTCTCATATTTATTTCCATAATTATTTCACCGCTACCTTTATAAGTTCTCCGGCTCCCGAGCTTTTCCTAACTATTTATTTATTAGCATTTCCGTCGCCCCATTTCATGTAATTGAATTAAATTGGGCACGAAATTTAACAAAGGAAGAAATACTTTTAAAATTTGTAGTTTAAAAGAAATTATAAATATTTATAGTGCTACAAATCATTACATTAAAAATAAAATAATATATAAATTATATTATTTTTAAATAAGAAAAATACAAATATTTTTGGCATAAGATAAAAAAAGGTATATCACATAAATTGACTTGGGACAAGAAATAGTTTCTTATTTATATTTGTTAAAGTTCTTTTAGAAAGAACAAAAGGTGAGAACGTATTCAACATGCTTAATATGAAAGTATATAATTTATGAATATCTTCGGATTCGCGAAATCATTCTTCAGCTTTTCTAAAGGTGTGTTTAGTATGAATCAATTACTCATATGGTTTAGTATGAATCAATTACTCATATTTAGTTAGCTTAAATGCTTTGAAAAATATTTTTCTTATAAATTCATCTTCCTTTAAATATAGGAAAATGATATATTTCCTACCAAGAGGAGGGAAAATATTTTCTAAAATATTGTTCAGTTGGATTTTCTTGTTGTTTGTCCTTCTTGTTTGCTCGATTTAATGCCTTGAAAGCTTTCTCAGGATCCGGTAATGCTTCAAACAATCAACAGTTCTTGAAGAGCTTCTAGGCATTCACCATTGACACACAAGACTACAAGCGTTAGAATTTCAATATAATGACTTTCAAATCAAGAAAGCTGACTAAACAGAGAATCGTCCTAGCAATTCTTCTAGCCGTAATTAATAACACCATTAATTCCCCGAGAACTCACGTCAAACTATGCCATATAACAAGAACTAAGAGATCGTTGCAAATATAATCCGGTTTACAGGTCCGGATCGAATCCCACAAGAAATTAACCTACTAATCACGACAACTAGTTTCGTAAGAATTCAAGTAATCAACCTTTAGAAATTTAAATAATTATTTGAGTGGTTGCTAACTAAGAGCAAAGTATTAAAGATGTAAATTTATAACTAACAAAGTAAATGTTGTAAACAAGATTGGAAAAGTCTAGGATTGTAATTTTTCCAATTGTCAGAATCTTTCTCAACTACGTTTCCTATAAATTCGCCTAAGTATTCTCTACCGATCGTGAGTACTTTGGGTGTCCTAATTCTCTTCCGAGCAATTACCACAATTTACTAGACGTATTCTTCTAAATGATGCTAGCTGACACTAATTCTCCGCTCACTACGATCGCACTAAGATTTCGTTATTACTAATCTCACCTTTAAACTCACCGTATTGATTCCTCAAATACGTTAGGGGTGATGTTATTCAACAATTACCTAAATATGTATACTCTTCCAAGCAATACACACTAAATAGGCACAGTTAATTAAGAGCTCTTCTGTTAACAACAAAGAATACGTAGTTGAACAAGTAGAGACGAATCAATGGCAAATTTACAATAAACATAGAGGAAAATTATCCTTCAATAGGTTCCATTAAACCCTAGATGATAAAGCTTGGTAAGCCATAATTTTATAAATAATCTGCATAATATTCAAAAGAATTGAACTACAAATTAAAGAGAAATGGAGGGAGAACTCGTTTGATTCCTTTCTCCAAAGTGTTATGTAGCCTTTTTTTTGCTTATCCAATAATGTCCGACCCTTGCTCAACTCGTTTAGGGAGTATTTATATGTTAGGGTTGAGGTCATTGAGTCCAAATCTGGGTCAGAGTATTTTTAATTTGCGAACAACTGGCCACCGGGTTCCTGACCTCGCAAGACCAGGCTTGTAGTATGCCTGGACCTCGCGAGGCGAGGATTATCGCGCGTTGGTGCGCGCCTCACAGCTGGCGACGCTTGGTCTGGCGCCCGGCTTTGGTGCTTTGTGCTCTTTTCTTGTATTTTTTTTTGTTTCCCACCCGGTGTCTAGTACCTTTTTTTCGTGTAATCTTCACTCCTCTTTGTCTTCCAATACTCCTACACATAAAATAATATAATTTAGCTCAAATATCACACAATTGACCACTAAACTATCCCCGGTCCATCTGAAACTTGATCCGAACATACGTCCAAGTCCAAAATCATCATACGAGCCTATGGAACCTTTAAATACCGATTCCGAGGTCGTTTACTCAAAGTGTTGACTCAAGTCAAACTTTGGTACCTTAGGCCACTATTATGGAACTAAGTGTTCCGAATTCAATCCGAACCCTTCCAAAACCAAATCAATCATCCCCGCAAGTCATAAAATAGGAAAAACACATATAGAAAGTCTTAAATAGGGTAATGTAGATCTAAAAAGCAAAAACAACCAACCGATCATTATATTTTTTAAACTTTAATTATGCCTAACCAAACAAACATAAATTAGAAAAGAAGGAGCAGTATTTTTTGTTTTTGGCCAAACCTCAATGATTTATTAGTCTTTTGAGGGTCGGAATTAGGTTACAATAAAGAGGAATGAAAAGATATGATGAAATCATATCCTCGGCTAAAGTACTTAAATGTATAAGATGAGCATTACGGTTCATATCAGCAACCTATTCTAACCATTTCTTCTATGAACAGAACGTGCTTGAAGTAAAAAGGAATAAAATATGTTAGAAAGATTCATTCCACAAGAAATATAGTTGACCATATATGCAAAATCAAAAACCTTTAGAACATGCCTAGAACATAACTTGAACCATTTTGTTCCTTTAAAGAAAGGCGCTTGAAGAAAATATCGATTGCTATACGTAACTTTAGAAATTTCATTCCATAAAAAACATATAGTCGACCATATGCTAAACTGAAAACATCTAGAACATGACTCTCTAGAGAAGAGAAAGACGAATTCTCTTGTCGACTTAGTAATATGCATGCGGCTTTAATTTACTTATAAAATGATCAAATTTTGAAACTGATTTAAACTAGTGTTTACCCTTAAAATGAGTAACAATTGAATTTGTTCGCGGTTTAAAGGATACGTGATATAATTTAACGCAAATTATCTAAGAACAATAAATAATTGAATTAAAGAGAAACAAAACAATCAGACCAAATGTGATGGAACGATTAAGTCTGGCTTTAAATGGAACGCTGAAACTGGTTCCGATGAGCTCTCGAGACGGGCTCGGTTGCAACTAAATAAATAAGCAGCTGAAAAACACTTTCAACAGTAACTAGAGAAACAAAAATGATCTTTCTTGCTTTGATATGCATGCCAACAGTGGTTGAAAATAAAAAGGTTCTCCCCTTTATATAGTAGGGGAATTTCATTCTTATTACAAGTCTAAATAAGGTAAAAATATTTCTCTTCTAGTAATTTGTGATACGCGGTTGATATCGAGCGAGATTTGTGCCGTAATATCCATTTGAGGGCGGATATTTCGGCCCCACATTTATCCTTTCTAGGTGTATTTCCTTTTGCCTCGATTCTTCACTTTGCTCGAACTCAATTCTTCCCATGTTTGGCCATGCTTGGCGCACCGTTCGTCCTCCCCGAGCTCTGATCTGTGGGAGCCCTCAGCTTTACCCGAGGCTACATCGCACAATGCTGTCTTCTCATTTTTTTATCAGAAGATTGGTGGTAACTTTATCCCGATTTTACCTGTACACAGATAGTCCCCTTACTTTTCAGAGAGTAGATTTATAGAAACGACGGGAAGTGATTAACTAACCCTGGTTCCTTCCTCCGTATGTTACAAGCTAGTTGACAAGTCACCGAAACATCCCATCAGTCGCATTGTTCTGACTTCGGACACGTGTCAGCCACCGATTGACCATACTCGGTGGGCATCAAAAGCGGAACGTCACGTTATTTTATTCCTATAAAATCTCCGATTTCCTTTTTTCACTTTTTTACTTTCCGATTACAAATCTTCTTGAGTCACCCTCAAATTTTTTACTTGATCATCACTCCCTTAAATCTTCACAAATTGTTCTCCACATCTTCATTTCTTCAACTTTAGTCTTCAAATCTTCATACTTTGCCTTTAAATCTTCAAACTCGATCTTTAAATCTTCATATTAATCTTTAAACCTTCATATCAAACTTCAAACCTTCATATTCCAAGATCAAGATGGCAACAACCTCAAAATGGTGCCTCAAAACACTGCTCCTTCAACATCTACCCCAACCACAAATACCGAGGTGACCCTTCTGGTAGAAGCCCTGAAACCTCTTCTTAAAGAGTTTATCCCCGAAGGCTGCTCCATAGATAACAACTTTAAGGTCGAAAAGCCTCCAAACAAGGAGATCGAGGTAAGGAGGCGTGGAGGTATATCTGCTCTATCACCGAAGAATCACTCCTAGCAGTCCGGGAGGAATGCAAATGGGAAGGCAAAGACGTAATCGCTCCTAGTCCTGATGAGGTATGATATCTGCCTCGGGTGGATCCACCCATCCTTTTGGAGGATCCTGACCCTTCTCCATCACTTTGCCAAAAACATAGAGGAGCCCCTGTTTTACGATCGACCATTTGCTTCGTATCTATAGCCCCCTAATCTCTTTGGGGAGATTAATCAAGCTTGCTCGATGGGAAAAGAAGGCTCCTTTCTCTAGCATCGATGAAGACAGGGACCAATGTTGGCAGGGGAGGTTTGTTCGGATAAAGACCGAAGACCTTATTCCCTCCGAGTATCTGCCATTCCCCAAGAAGTGGAACTCAAAATGTAAGTCTGTTTCCTTTTAATTTACTCCTTTAAATCTATCTCTCTTTTCCAAATACTCGATTTCAGTTGTCGGCCGAATCTCTAATGCAGTCCCTCACTTTGGGGAGTATGTCGAGGGAATATACAAATAACTA